ATTGTGGTTATCACTTCAATATGCTGAGTTATAAGAAATTCTTGAAATGACAGCCTTCTGCAGCGTCACCCGTATTTTTGTTCTTGTATCAGTGCCTTTTGCTGTCATCCCTTCTGGCAAAGTACCAATGTAATAAAAACATATGCTACTCTGACTAAATCAAAATGAAGATAGAGAACAGTTTGATAAAGTTTGTGAATGCTTTTGCTTTTCAACTGGGGAACGTATTCATTATGCAATTGATTTAGATACGGGTAGGTTACATGCGTGATTGAGTAATTGAGACAGGTCTGAAATTCAGAACGAGCACAAGTTTGTTTTCCAGCTGACATTGCTTTTTTTTTTTTTTTTTTAACAGGTTTGGGGTTTATCAAGCTTTGGGATAGAATTAGGTTTCCTGGTTGAAGAATATGCAGGAAGTAAGGGAAGATTTCCACCCATCAAGAGAAGAATAAAAAAGTCACTTTATATTGCTACCATAGAAAAAGGACATGCTCTTGTGAATTCTTTAATTGAAACAGATAGAATCAATGACCTCGGTTTAGTTGTAGTAGATGAGGTAGGTCACAAGATTTTCCCATAAATAGCTTTAGTTTATTTCATTGGTTTAGTTTCCAGGGCTTACCATGTCACAAGTAGTATAACTTCATTACTTCATTGGTACTTTGGGATCAGGAAAATGATCTGTAACCAATGCCTGTTATGATTAATGTTATTTTTATTCATCAACTGAAGTATTCTTTGTCACAGAGACTGCGTTAACATATCTACTGTGTTTAGTGGTTAATTGTAAATTAACTGTTACTTTGTAGAGCCAAACTAAGAAACAAAAATTAAAAAGTGATACTGAGTTGCGTGGAACATGTTTTTGCATATGCATGTTGCGTGCCTGAATTTGATATCCTGGCATCTGAAGGCTGATATACTGGAGGGAAAATGAAGTCACATTTCACTGAGAATTACCTGTTTCTCTGCTTTTTAATAATGTGACTGAGTTGTACTGCTAAAGGTTAACTGTGGGATTGAATCACATGTGTAATATGTGAAATCACGTGCTCAACTCCTGGAATGCTCCAGGCTGGCCTTAGTTAAACACAACTTCTCTAAATGTGAAGAGGCTTAATAAATAAGTTGGGCTTTTTCTGGTAGCACCTGCCTGCTAAGAAAAGATTTGTTTAGGATCCCTAACAAGTGTTTCTTAAAAATAAGTTGAACAAGGTAAGTTTAGGTTGCTTCATCTCCATGCCAATTCTGTACTTGCAAGAGATCCTATTTCCATGATACTTGTGATCTAATTAAATGGAATGCAAATTTTAGCTGCTTGTACTCTTGGATCTTTTGTGCTGCAGTTTTTAAATACATATTAATTAAGCCAATACTTAGAGAAGAAGCTTAGCATGTCAGTTTACCAAGTAGATCTCTAAATGGAGTCTTGACAGACACTCAACTCAGAATTACTTAGAAATAAACGGTTGTATTTCTGGGAATATTTGTAACCCAGTAGTAACTCTTGGTTGCTTTCTCTTCCGGTCTGCAGTTGCATATGATTGGTGAGGGAAGTCGTGGAGCAACACTAGAAATGACTCTTGCAAAAATACTTCATGCTAGTAGTAAGTCAGTCTCTAAAATATCGTTCTGTGATCTCCTGTAGAGAGAGATCACCTTTTTGCTTTCTAGATCTGTGCTGCCTTGGCTGCTTTTGAAAAATGCGTTGATTGCTTGGGTTGTTTTACCCCATAAGGATGGGCTGAGTGTTCTTGAAGCTTTCTTGATATTTTTCTGAGCAATTCTGTGCATTGTCAAACATCTTTCATTTCTTCATAGGAGCCCCTTTGCCACTGCAATTAAACATCTCCATAGAGAAGACTTCCTTTCTTATGTTTACATCTCAGGCAATATTTCTTAGCTACATCCCCATGAAAACTGCTGATTTGGCACTTAAAAGTAAATGCTAATAATGGATAAGCAGGCTTTTGAGTTAAGTATTGAGCAAAGCGTTTAAAATGGTGACCATGGAAATAAATTCTGTAAAACTTGTTTTTACAGCAAATACACACATTGTTGGAATGAGTGCAACTTTAAATAATGTTGGAGACCTGCAGAAGTTCCTGCAAGCAGAGTACTATACTAAAAATTTCAGACCGGTGTGTACACAAAATATTGTAAAACAGTCAATATTGCTGCTGGCTTTAAAATTATAGCAGCCCTGTTCAGACTTTTAACATGGGCCACGTGTTTACTTTCACCATGTTTTAAAGATTAAAGCAATATGCATGGTAAGACTTGTAATGGTACTAACAAACTTTTTTCATGATTTGCCACACAGTGTATTGTGTACGTACATATACTTACATATATGAAGTAGTGATTAATCATTATTGTTTATGTAATGCACGTGGAATCTGAGCTGGTGGTCTTCAATCATGAGAACTGTTTATGAACAGTGATGCATATTCTTAGCTAATTAGGCACTTATTTTGCCAGAGCAGATAATTAGGTCTATTTTTAAAGACTGCATGCATGTATTTAAGGGAAGCATGATGTTTACTAAAAAAAACAGCTACGTATTATTAATGGCTTCATGTTGGTAATTTGACTATTATTTCTGTTTCTGGCTTAAATCAATCTAGGTAGAGTTAAAGGAATACATAAAGATAAGAGATGCAATTTACGAAGTTGACAGCAAAGCAGAAAATGGCTTTACTTTTTCACGTCTCCTTAATTTCAAGGTAAGATCTAAGTTTCTTTGAACTATGATTATAAAATATCATTATTTGTTGATGTCTGCAGTGCTTTCACAGAAGAAATAACATAGTTGACTTGTAATGCATATAACAAAGACAATAGCAAACTTAAGAAGAGGAAAAAGGTCCGTTAAATATCAGATATTTAACTCTATTTTAACATTTTTACTGCTCTTAGCAGAAAGTGGGGTTGGTCTATTTTCTTTTCAGTATTCTCCCATGGGTAGTAAAGGGCTTGAAAAGTCCATAGAACTAACTGCTGCAAGTCTTTGGGTAGATTTTCTCAGCTGTTTATCACTTTTGAGTAACAGAACATACGTTCTCACTTTCAAATAACAGAACATATGTTCATTGTTATAAGCTTATTACTGACTTATTTGGATTCACTTCAATGTTAAGATTGGTGGATGATGGTATACTGCCACTTGCACGAGCAGCATTGCTACTGTAACACTGCAGGTAAAGATATTAAGGAGGAGGAAGAAGAGTGTTGATTTTTATACGGATATTCTGAGCTGAATCTTTTGGTAAACTGTAAAGTGCTTGGCTGGGAGAAGTTCATCCTACAAATTCTTGTTTAAGTCACCTTAAAACAAATGGAGAATGCCCTAGGGAAGGCAGAGAACAGGTACTGAGTACTTGCTGAGTTTAAGAATTAAATTCCACGTTTGAAAAATGATGTTTGTCAATCTGTTGATAGTATTCTAGTAGCCTGGAGAAAGCAGATCCCGACCACATCATTGCACTGGTTACTGAAGTTATTCCGAAATATTCCTGCCTAATCTTTTGTCCCACTAAAAAGAACTGTGAAAATGTGGCTACAATGGTTTGCAAGTATCTGAACAAGTATGTTTTATCTCCTGATTTTTTTTTATTATATATGAAATTGTTGGCTAGAACTCAGTGTTTATCTTAACTAGTTTGGAAGTGGCTTTTCTGGGTGATGAGATGTACTTTGAATATACAGAATTACATGAAGCTATTAACTGGATATATTACAGAAAATTGCTGAAGGCTTATTAGTAAACTGTTTTACAAGCTTTTTTCAGCAGATTTTACAAATAGAGGACAAATAAATTTAAAAAAAAAACATAGAGAAGGGTATACTAAAAAAAAAAAAAAAAACAACATTTAACCTTATCTTATTGGCACTTCTTTCCACAAGCTACTTAAAGACATTTTCCCTATAGCCCTGTATTTGGTCATGTACGTCATTAGTTGTCTATGGAAGTATCAAGTATTCTCTCCTTAGAGGATGTAAACACTAAACTAGGCTTCACGTACAAAAGTTGAGATTTGTTTGACTGGATAAAAGTCTGATTTAATATAATTATAGTCTAGTTTAAATAGCATGTAGAAAGAAATTACATTAATTGTTCAAATTCCCAATCTTGGAACCAATTTTAGTGTCTATAAACTTTGCTATAAGCTGATATTGACCTTCTCTCTTGTCTTCAATGTGCCTGATACACACCTAATCAATATTTGATGCCTTCTGTACCCATGCTTCCAAACAACAACAACAAAAAAATCAGTTGCGGGTGACTTCAGTCTCTACCTGTGTATTACTATTTTGAAGTTATCAGAAACAAATCTTTATCCAAATCTTTATCACCTATTTAGTTACAGGAACAGATAATGGAGAGAAATGTAGAAGATGTCTGCCTTAATTTTTTTAAAGTGATTATTAATTGATCAAAGTCTAAAGAAATGTTTTTTGTTCTCAAAGAGAATTTAGAGCACACAGGGAGAAAGAGAAACAGGACCTAATTAAGAACCTAAAGGATATTGGAAATGGAAGCATCTGTCCTGTTCTGAGGCAAACAATTCCTTTTGGTGTTGCCTATCACCATAGTGGCCTTACAAATGATGAAAGAAAGAGTATAGAAGAAGCATATTGTAAGGGTGTCCTGTGTCTTCTTGCTTGCACAGCTACATTAGCTGCTGGCGTTAACCTGCCAGCCAGAAGGTAAGTTAACCAAAAATATTACATTGTTTCATTCTTGCATTGTAAATAATAACAATAAACCTTAAATGGAAATATCAGAACTCTGTTACATATCTTTCAGCTGTTACTTGGAAATTTCAGGAGGAAGTAATTTAACACAGTGAGCTTAGGACAGATGATAACTTTGCAGTTTTAATTCTAGGAAAAACATGTCAGTTACAAGTCTCTCAGAATGCATAGTTGAGGAACACATAGTTGAGGAACACTTTCCTGAAGGAATTTCTACTATATTGAGAAATTCTTCAGTGTTCAGTAATAATGAGCAAGTGATGATGCTTTTTAAATGCTTTTAAAAGAATAATGTTTAAATCCTAAAATTGTTTTATAAGGAGAAGATGTTTAAATATATTTTACCAGAATAACGTGCTAGCACTTGTTACGCAGGTATTGATGGTACAGTTTGCCCTAGTCTTCAAGACCAAGAGACTGTTTGCTTAGAATCCAGTTTTGTGTGTCTGTGTTTGAGTAACACATCTGAGGAGAGAGAACTTTATTTTCCTAACAGAGAAATGTGGTCTGTTTTTAGCATTACTGACTTAGTGTCAACATTTTTTGTGTTCGACTAATACAAAGGCTCTGCAGCAATTAAAATGGATTATGATTCAGACTTCAAGGTGTTAGATGTTTTGTTGAACACTTTTTTGGAAACAAGTACAATTTTGCTCATCTTAGTTGCAAAGCATGAAGCATATCTAGAGAATGCATCTTTATGATATTGCAACTATAATAATTTTAATATTAAGCACAACTTACCAATGATTTCTTTTTACAGGGTGATTTTAAGAGCCCCTTATGTTGCTAGCGAGTTCCTGAAGAAGAATCAATATAAACAAATGATTGGCAGAGCTGGTCGAGCTGGTATTGACAGTGCTGGTGAAAGTATTCTCATAGTGCAGGAAAAAGACAAACATTTGGTAACTTTCATGAAGCTGTTGGTGATTTGAGTCATTGGATTAAGTTGGTAACATAAAGAAGAGTAGATGAGGTCGTTAGCCTGAGCTCAGTAGAAGTTGTTTGAGGTAACTGACTTACAAAATACCAGTTAATTGCTTTAGTCATACATGGATTGTTTTCAGGCATTAGCTATAAATGCTTGATGTTTACAGATACTTGTGATTCTGCTTAGAAACAAAGACTCAGTACTTCAGAACAGCTTAAAACTATTCCCTAAATATTTTTCTGTACCAATATATTTCTTGGGACCTTTCAGGTTCGGGATTTAATAACCAGTCCTTTGGAGAATTGTTACAGCAATCTTCTGCCAGAGTTCACCAAGGGAATGCAGTACCTGTTGCTATCATTGGTTGGATTGAAGGTATTAGTTAAGTATTATGAGCAGTTAAAGTGTTTGGGGGATGCAATAAATACTGTATTACTTGATTCTGTAGGAAAACCAGATATTTTTAACAGTTGAACTTAGCTAAGTTCAGCACAGCTTCCCTTCAAATAGGAAGTGCAGAACTGTGAATAATATTTTCCTCACTTAAAAAGCAATGACATAACATGATGCTTTTCTAGTGTGGACAAAACCAAAGTTATGTCTACCTTCTCCAGTGTCTTAGTACTTCATTTTCTGATGCTAGATTCTACCAATAAAAACTAGCAACAGTCTAAACAAATGAACATAATAGAACAGCCAGGATAATAAATGGACATGCTGTCCCATCAGATCAATGATCAGCTGTCTATTCTATTTGTCACTTAGCTTCTATAAACAACTTAAATGATAGTCTGAGTAATTGTTTTGAATAGCATGCACTTTTTTTGCGTGATGACATTTAAACATCTAATTGCTTCCAAATCTTATACAGATTGCAGTTACCCAAGAGGAAGTGTACAGTTTTATGTGCCGTACATTGCTGGGTGTCCAGCAGCAGCTGCTGTTGAAAGAGAAGAGCCTCTCAGAGATTGTTAGAGATGAACTAGAAAATCTAATAGAAAAGGGACTCTTAAAAGGAAAAATAATGGAAAAGGATCAAAATTCCAAAAGTACACTAACAATCACACTGTTGGGTAAAGCTACATATAAAGGTAAGATTAATCTTATTCTTCAACAAGCCCTTTCATCTCAGCCTTACCTTCATTTAATGTGGCTTGCTTTCTTCTCTTCGAAAAGGCAATTTAAAAAAAAAAAAAACCTTGCCCAGTGCTAGTTTAGTTACTAAATAATGTGTTGGACTGAAATTAAGAATGAGTAAGCATTGTGTGACTGAACGTTACAGGTATGAATCTTAACAACATGAATCACAAGACGACTCAAACTAGAACTGTATTAAAATTAATGACTTGACTTGATTTAGTGTTTGTAATGAAAATTACTCACAATCTCATTTTTACAAGTAGGCTAAAAAATAATGTTACTCACAATGCCTATTAAGAGACTAATGGGGAAAGGAAGTAATATTACATGTGGTCCAAATCTAATGTAAAAAGTATACCAGTGTACAGTCAGTAAGTATACAGAGGTCAGGCTTGATAAGATGTAGGATCAATAAGTATAAGCCTAACATCAATAAGATGTCAGGCTTAGCAAGATTATCACAGTGGAAAGATAATCAAAATAAATGAAAATGCTCACCAGTGTTGTAGGCTCACAGTAAACTCCTCAAGGAGCGACCTCCAGACACATCCTTCCTCAGTAGCAGTCAGTCCTTAAGAGGGGTCTAAGAGAGGTGGAGCCAGGCTTCATCCCCTCCTGGTAGCACAAGTGAATTGCCTTCACCTGTGCTCCTGCAGCTGACTCAATTGCTTGTCTCAGGTGGTCAATCAGAGGTTCAGGCCATGATCAAAAAGTTCCCATACAACCAGAAAGTACGATTTTTTTCATCTCATAGCATAAAGATGTAGGACAAGGAAAGCACTTGTAAGTTTTACAGGCTGAAGCTATCTCTCAGTTTCATACAAGAGTTTCTTCAAAAGAAGATAATTCAAACATTCCAGAAGCACACAAAATGTATGTGGAAACCAGTGATCGCAGACTTTTTTTGCAGTTCCTTTTTGCCAATAATGATAGATAACAATGATTATTTGGGCTACGCTTTCCTCTTGGATTAAGATTGCACTACCAACAAACTTTTCTGGAAAAAATAAAATGATGACTTCATGTGAGAATCTGTTGCACTAAACTCTGTATGCCTACCTAAAATTGCTGTGCGTTGTCTGCTTATTTTAGGCTCTATAGATGTGTCGTACTGCAATCTTCTTTACAAAGAACTGAGGAAAGGCTTGGAAGGGCTGGTTCTTGAGAGCAGTCTTCATCTTCTCTATTTAGCTACTCCATATGACATGGTTTCCAACTGCAGCCCAGATTGGATGATATACTTGAGGCAGGTGAGATCTGCATTTCAATGTTTGATTGGGGCATATACTAATGCTGCTTAGTGGATTTTGAGTGTGTTTATACATACAGAACATAACTAGTACAATAATGCTTTGATGAAAAGGTAAAGATGTTAATGTTTTCAATCATAGGGCAGAAGTGCTTTTCTTTACCTCAAGAACTTAATTTACGTTGTGCATTGATATTTTGTCCTCTTAGTGAGAAACAGCAGCACAATGGCACTAAAGTCTGTATAACTGGGTTTGTACTCAACAGTTTGACAGGTAAAGAAACTGCAGATCTGACTGCAGAGAAGTCAGCCTAGTATTCAAATATTAGATACAGATATTTAAAAGCACAGTTTTCCTTTCAGTAGCAGACTTCTGGTTTCAATAACATATTTCATAAGAACTAGTTGTCTGAATTTAGTATGAAATTATCCTGAAGAGTTGTTCTGCAAGCTCAAGCATGGAGTACAGGAAAAAAAAATTGTTTGTTGGTCGTGGAGCTTCTTATTTTTGAAGCATTTGATGAAACTGAACCAGATCTGTTTTTATACAACTTCATACTAGCATTAATCACTATCTGACAGGGAAGAACTTAAATTCCAGATGTGTTTAAGTAAATAACAAGACTTGGAAGAAAATACTAGAGCACGTAGAAGAGCTACTGGTAGTTTGGGGTTTTTTACTAATTCATCTTGAATTTTATATAGATAACTGTCATTACCAGACAAGGTGAGAAATGTGATGCTGTGTGCACCTTAATAATTAAGCTGTGTATGCATTTAGAAAATGACACACCCTTTCTACACATATACAGATGTGTTCAGCTGCTAAACTTCTGGTGTATGTGGCTTTAAACCAGTTGAGTTAAAGGTGAAAAAGTATGTTAGTTTCTTATTTGTGGAGGAGAAGGGAAAGCAAAATTAGCTATTTGCCTGCAGGTGGTCTGCATATTAAACAAATGTGATGTGAATTACTTTTTAGAGTTAAATATACATTGTCTAGAGCTATTATGATTTGTAACATTTAATTTCTTATTAGTTGTAATGAAGAAATGATTTTGACTGTAATCAATCTTCCTTTAGTTCAACCAGCTGAGTTCAGCAGAGCAAAAAGTAGCAGATATGGTAGGAGTACCTGAGAGTTTTATTGCAAAAAAGGCTTCTGGTCAAGCCATCAGAAAGGTAGGCTCGAGATTTCTTACACCTAAGACACCTAAGACCTACAGTGTAGTCTTGTAATTCAACTGTTTAGAAATGCTGGATAACTTCCCTGAAAGTATTTAATTATTACTCTTCTTTTACTCATTAACTTTCTTTTCACCTCATCTTGTTTTTCCATGTTTAATGTATTAGGGTCTAACATATACCTGTTTTAGAGATGTGAAGGAACAGGGACGTAAGGACTTAATCCTTGAAGAATGAGCAGAAAATTGTGAATTTCATAGGGGGTACTGAGTTCTAACTTGTTTTATTCCTAGAATGTGGACACTGCTGTTGTGAACAGGCTGTACCTGTCATTTGTCCTGTATGCCCTACTGAAAGAGACCAACATATGGAGCGTCTCAGAGAAATTCAACATGTCCCGAGGTTACGTGCAGAATCTCCTTACATCTGCTGCCTCATTTGCTTCTTGTGTTCTGCATTTCTGTGAGGTAGTGTACTAAATATCTCCTAGTATCTTCTCTTGATTGGCTTTGCAAAACTTGAAGTTTTCTTCTGTTATGTTAAGCTCAATGCATACATTGCATTTCACCTCTCCTGTGCGTAACTATACATTGTCAAGAAAAGAATGCCAGTACAAAGCATATTTCTTGTGTTAACAGTAAGGTTGATGGACAGAGAATACAAGAATACCTACTTCAGAGGTCACTGATCAGTGTCATTAAGTGCAGTTGATGGAAAATTATGAGCTTACCTTTGTGAGATGAGGCCTTCTGGTGATGGAATGTCACCGTGAGAAAAGAGCTGTCTTGGTTGTTTCTTAACCATCCCAGATTTAGTTGAGGAGCGCCAGATGCAACTCTGCAACAAGCTGTAAGAATAGCAAGAAGAGTTTTCCTACTGTCTTTTTTACTGCCTTTTACTTTGACTTCTAATTGTCCTTGTCTCTGCAGGAACTGGAGGAATTTTGGGTTTACAAAGCCCTGCTGACAGAACTTACCAAGCGCTTGACGTACTGTGTTAAGACAGAGCTCATTCCACTGATGGAGGTAGCAGGGGTTCTAGAGGTAAGTAAACCTATCTTCAACAATTGGACAAAGGCAAACTTTTGTGCTAAATGTTATTATCACTAAAGTATCTCTGGAAGACCAGGCTAGATTTTATTCCAAGTCTGGCATCATAGGAATACCTCGCAACAGTCTGTTATGTCAGGGACTGTTGGGGGAATGCGAGCTGGAGCCAGTCATATTCTCCTTCCAGTTGCTGCTGCAGCAACAGTGAAAGCACTGCATTTGCATACCAATTTAGAGCTTTGTGCTCAACTGTAAAACACAGCCCAGGTCAAGTGTATTTTGAGGTTAAGTTAGAAGATTATCACAGAACTACAGGAAGTTACACAGGGAACATAAGCTTCTAGTATCACTAATGCTGGTGCATGTATTTCAAATGAGAGATGTGACTAGTTTCTGAGGGCTCCTATTCAAGCATTAAAATACTGTGGGAACTGAGTGCAGGATTGTGAGTGAACCTCCTTTGAAAAGGATGTGTCTTTTCTATTCCAGCATACTGTAGAAATCACATTGTCAGCAGATTGGTGGCAGTGAGTTTTTACACTGAAAAGTTAAAGCTATGGAGACTTACACCTTGATGCATTTTGTATGAAATGGCCTGAATCTGGTATAAAGGGAGAAGAAAGGTCTTCATTCCATGGCTTGAAGCCTTTAAGGGCAAGAAGAGTCTGAACAGCATGATTCTACTGAAGTTACATTGTACAGATTGTTCTTGAAATACATTGCTCTCATCAAGGTGCTTTTAAACAATAATTAAAACTATTAAAATCATACTGACAGCTGGTACTTCTAGCAGATACTGACATCTTGAACAGGTATGATTTACATAGTTCTGTGTGTAGGAAACTGATAGAATCAATATTTGGCTTACCATAGTAAAAGAGAAAACGTCCTTAGAATTTTGAGTTGCCAAAGAGCAAACTATGATTTCCCTGTTAGTTACTAGCAAGGGCAGGTTCTGAGCTATCAGTCATACTGTGCATACAGCTACAGAACAGTACAGAAGAGGTATGCTGGCATTTAATGGATTTTTTTTTTTTTTGTGAATTATGACACTTCACATCACTAAGTACTCACGTGTTGTTTGTAAGCTTTTCTGTTGGATACTTGTACTGTATATATATGCCATCAGATTAGATTTCCTATTCCTTGGTGCCTTAACAATAGAAGAAAAAAAAAGTGTGATTGACCAAATATATGATGGCAGTTGTATGATCAATAAGCATACAGATGTTATATAGTATATAGAGAAGCTAAGCTGTTAAGATTATCACATTGGGAAAGACAATCAGAGAAAAGTGAAAAAGTACTCACCAGTGTTGTAGACTCACAAGAAACTCCACAGAGAGCAACCTCCAGAAGAGATCCTTCCTCAGTGGCAGGCAGCCCTTAAATGGTGCCACCCCTTCCAGTCACACAGCTGAATTGCTTTCACCTGTGCTGAGTGCTTGCCTCAGGTGATCAATGAGAGGTTCAGGCTGTGATTCAGCAGTTCCTATACAGCAGTGTACCACTTTTCCATCTGATAGGAATTATTACTTAGGCAGTTAGAGCCTTGGCATTACCAAATGCTTTAAAAACTAGCCTAGAAATGCATTTGACTTAAACTTTGTATACAAGTTCAATCACTGTAAGTTTTGCAAAAGGAACATCTCCAAAAAGACTGTATACAGTAATTACTGTTGGGCTGCATTGCATTCTTATACCACAACAGGACCAAGCCTAGTAAAGAGAAGCAGGCCACACGTACTCCCATGCTGATTTTAGCTGTCAAATTCCAGAGAATCTCTCCTGTCCTTGTGAGCTAACAGCCATGAGTTGGTGTAAAACTAGAGAAAAAGATACAATTGAGTAAAGCAAAAAAAAAATATTAATAAGCTCTAAGCAGCAAAGTGCAGTCTTATCTGGAGTGCTATGGAAGCTTATGAGGTGGTATTAAAAGTTGCAGAAAAATAGGGGCAACACTTCAGGCATAACAAGCTCTCATTTCATTTAGATCTTCTAAAGAAAATAAGGCAGTGATTTGTGTCAGTGACAGCAAATGCAGAAAACGTGACAAAAGAGAAATGAGGCTGGCAGACACAGTACTGTGCAGGTGCAGAGGAAGTAATGATGCCTGGTTTACTTCGAACTGTGTAAGGTTTTTCAGGTTTAAATCAGTACCTCTGAATTGCTAGTGCCAGTTCTTATGAGGCTTGCTGTTCTTGGAAAGGTGAATCAAAGGGAACCTGGATCACTATTAAAAATATATATATAAATGTCTGAGGTGGATTGAGAATTCTTATTGCCTCTTAAAATAACCTAACACAACTTCTGTCTTACAGGCACGAGCTAAACAGCTTTATAATGCAGGGTACAAAACTTTAGCACACTTAGCTAATGCAAACCCAGAAACTCTGGTGAAGACGATCGAGCATTTGTCACGACGTCAAGCCAAACAAATGGTTTCTTCTGCAAAGGTAAGCAAGTATGTTAAAAGAAACTACTTGAGGAATTCAAAGTTTCAAAATGAGTATTTGAATAACATTAAAAGAAAGTGGAAGATTCGGTTTAGAAATAAAGGCATTTGTGAATATTTGCAGTGGCAACAGTGATCAGTATTAATCTAGTGAGTTCATTTTCTTAACCACATTATTTATCTAAGATGATTACAATGGGGGTGAATTCAGCGACTACAGCCCATGATGCACTTAAATGATTGGCAAATAGAAACTACTTAAACCCATTCTTTTTCTGTGGGGGGTCGTAAAGAGTTCTCTTCATTAGAGAAACAAAGACCAGAAATGTTCTGGTAGCTTATCTGGAACAGTGAACAGTACAAGGTCTTGGCATAATACATAAGAAGATATTAGATTAGTGCTGCAGTCCTGTGAGCAACAGCATTGTTTCATTTCATTTTTCAAGACCAGATACAAACCTGGAAAGGAACACTGATGTTTAATCCTAACAGTATCGCAAATGATTGTCTTAATTTCCTAATTGTTTGATTGCTATTACAGATGCTGCTGACTGAAAAAGCTGAAGCTTTACAAGAAGAAGTAGAGGAACTCCTAAAGGTGCCTACGGATATCCCATAAACCTACTGACCAGCTCAGTCATGAAAAAAATAATAATGAATTGAAGTATTTGGGCATGTCTTAGGTTTTAACTTTGTCCTATGTATACATGCTGTAAATATAATAAATATTTATTATCTTTTGTATACATCATATTTGTGTGAATTTTGAATTGAAAGTATTTCTTGGAAACTTTTCTTTATTTGAAAATTTTGATAATGAATCTCTTCTGCACAGACCAGAATCAAAAGATGTGCTATTAAATAGCTCCCAGCTTTATACATAGCTCTAGGAATGCTTTGGGGGCTGGACTTAGGTGGTGGTGTGTACTTACGTACATAGAACTATGGCTCATAGCTGGCTTAAAAAGCACAGTAAAAAGTGACGTGGTAGCATCATAAGCATCCTTTAGGACACCCATGTGTGAGCAAACTACTTTAAAACTTCTGCTGATAGGAGTTCCTGTCTTCTGGGGAAAGCTAATGGAATGAGAAATAGAGTTGTAGCTCTAATGAAGAAATACCAGAGTTGCATAAGGAATTGTAGATACTGCCTCCTCTAAGTACTATTTTTAACAGATTTGAACACCAAATGACTATTCTGTCTCTGTTAATGCCTGGGGAGAGAATTGTTAAGGATGATTCTGTAAAAGACTTTCAAATAGGGTTTAAATTTTATTGAAAGGTTTTGAATATTAAGGCAATATCAGAAGCCATGTCAACTTCTGAGACTACAAAGGCAAATGATAGTTGTAGTACTAAGGGTATTGAAAGCCATATAAAAGAGAGCAGTTCTAGCAAGAAGGTATGCTTCATAAACGCAGCTTAAAAATGTCTTAAATATTCAGTCATGACACAGTTGAGCTCCTTTTTCAAACTGCTATGTAAAACATGATAACGTTAAAGCACTTCACATGAAGAGTTATCAAATATAGTTGGGTTTGCATTATAGAACACTGCTTCAAAAGGTGGTGAATAAATGATGAGTAGTATTTTACTGCTGATTTGCTTGTTTCATTAGAGAAACCTTGAGTAACAAGTAAATAATCTGTTAGCCTTCTTTTCATTAAAAAATGCCTAAAAAGTTTAATTCTGCTACTTTCCTAGTGGCTATGGGATTTTAATAAATGGAATCGAATACTTGGAATATTAAACCAGGCCAAGAACTTCACCTGTAAGTTATTTCCAACACCTAGCCAGTTGCTTTAAAGGCTTATTGCTTTGCTCAGCTGTTACTCCCACTTGAAATGGTCTTACTTGGAACCTCATACTGAGGGATTTTGGAAACAAGCATAAAAACACGCCAACGTTTCTGAATTAATCCTCTACAAATAATACAATAAATCCTTACAGAAGGTAGCTAACCTGCTGGCCAATCCTCGCAACCCTCTCTCACCACATGTGTGGTTCTGTGTGTGGCTTGCAGAAAGCTGTGTCCAGAAGGGGCTGGCAGGAGGCTTGCAGCCAGGTTCACTGCTGTGGTCTCTGTTCTGGAAAGGTGCTGCAGTGAGAGCTGACCCAGTGTCAGCTCTTGTTTCATCCTGTGACTGAAAGCTTCATTCATCGCTTCCACGGGCCTGGCATGGGGTGCAGGTTGCAATGAATACAAAGAACGTGAAGGTTTTGTTTAGGTTTATAGATAAATTATCTGGCTTCTGAAATCAAAGATTTGTGGTACACAGTATGAGGAGACATGAGGATGATGTGGGAGGCCTTTGAGAAGCACAGCCTGTGGTTTTAATTAGTTAAGAGACCTAATTTTCAGTACATAGTCTACTTCTGCAACTGAGTTTTGTTTCAGTGAGGTTTCTTACATAGAAAGACTAATCTGACACTGCCAGTAATGTTGATCTGCACAAATGTTGTGATGCCACAAGAGATGTTTGCCTTTTGTACTGTTTATTCTACCCTTCTGCATTTCCTTTGCCCACATAAAAGTCAACTGGTTCTTGCTCAGGAAGAGCTGGGGTGCTGCTGTTGGTGATAGCTCAGCACTTCCATCGTTGGGCTGCACAAATTCCCAGAAAGCACTGTTACTGCTATGAACTCCTGCTGTGTGCCTGCCATTGGCACCACTGGCTCCAGTGCAGCAGGGGTGGTGACAGTGGGACAGGGCCAGTGTGGATGGAGCATTAGCACTAAGAAAGGGTTTTTAGGCATGTCCTGGCCCCTACACCCTCGCTCTGGAGCTCCCAGTAAAGCACTTTGCTTGTACTTCGATGAGTGACAAATACTTCTGTATTCATCTCCCTTTCTGTGCAGGATTTTAAAACGTGCTTAATGCCATGTGGAAAACACCCTAACAAGTGATGCTAACTGTCGTGTAACACCTGTAGTGTTACTTTGCAGCTGCAAGGGGCAGCAGGCTCCCCAAGGGCCAGCAAGCACCGGACCCATCGTTGCCACGATCCACTCTCTGTGGATTGCATCCCAAATGTAGTATGGATCACTGGATCCATGTCCCAGTCGCAGGGCTGGGTGGCTGCTGCGAAACCCGTGGGATGGATGCAGGACTTACTGCAACTCACCCCGCAAAGGGTAGATGCGTGCCATAGCCCAAAATTGGAAGCATCCTGCTGATCGTGATGCCAAGAGGAGTGTCGCTGATGCTTCCGCTCCGGCAGAACCGTGGGTGTGTTTACAAACGGCAGCGCTGATGCGATCTGGTTGGTCTCGTTCTGGCGGAGGGTGATTTCATATCAGGAAAACTGGGAGCGGGTGGCTGCGGGGCGGTGCTGGGGCTGCCCGCCCTCCAGGGGTGGTGCTGGGGCAGCGGAGCGGCCCGGAGGAGGAGGAAGATGAGAAGAAGAAGGAAGGATGCTGGTGCTGCTGCTGCTGCTGCTGGCTGTGCCGCCGAGGCAGACGGCAGAGCTGCAGCTGAGGCTGCGGGAACCCATCGGGGCGGTAAGCCCAGCCTTCCTCTCTCTTACACTGGACGCCAGCTTGGCCCGTGACCCGCGCTTTGTTGCCCTGCTCAGGTGAGCCCTGCAGCTTCTCCACTCCTGGGTGAGCGGGTGAGAGGATGCCAGGTGCTGGTGTGTGATGCTGGCAGTGGATGATGCTTCTGGCTGGGACAGAAGCAGGCTGAGCCTTGGTGCTGCTTTGTGGATGCTTAGTGGGACTCTGGGTGCTGTGAGCCCCACTGAATGCCAGAGAGGTTCTGATGTGCGTGGAGGTGAACAAGTAGCTGCTAAAATCAAAGCCTTTTCTGATTGTGAGCAAATCCCAGCTCAGGGCTTCCAGGCGATGGGCTCCTGGACTCTTCTTTCAGCTCTATTTCTTTGTTCTCTTCTCTTTTAGATTCAGCTTTTTGTAGGTTTGTTGGTTTGTTTGTTTGTTTGTTTTTCCCAAAGTCATTTAATTTCTTTCCTTTTCTCCCACCCAATCCCAAATTCTAGCCCTGCCCCATTGCTCTGAAACTGTAAGGCAGCATCAGCTTTATCTGAAGGCAGGCAGCTCTGGCTGCTGTGATGACATTAGGAAGTGCTTGGTGGCCTCGTATCTGCTGGGTGTCCCCACAGAGTGAGATAGGGCTGCTGCCATCCCAGATAGCACTGGAACTGCATCTGCTTTACTTTGAACACTTGTTCCACACACGCTCTGGTTTTGGTACAAAATCTATCCATTTGGTGGTTGTCCATGGAAAAAGGGAGAAATGGTGTAAAGCCAGCTTGAAGCCCACACTTGGGTGGCTCAGATCCTCTGCTGCAAGGTGTCTCTCTGAATGCTGCTGATGCTTTGTTTCCATGTGGCAGATTACCCTGACATTTAATTTACCTTCCACAGACACCCCAAGCTGCACACTCTGGCCAGTGGGCTCTCCCCAGGCTTCCTGAGGTTTGGAGGCACTAGTACAGATTTCCTGATCTTCAATCCCAAACAAGATTCAACTTGGGAAGAGAAAGTCCTATCAGAACTTCAGGCCGAGAGTGGTAAGAGGGATTTGATCCTGTGCTGAACAGAAATGGATGTCTAGTGCTCAGCCCCACACACACCTCTCCCATTTCTTTGTGATGAGTATGACCCTTTGTGTGTTGCCTGATATGGTGATGGCAGCTTGGTTTCTCCCACCCTTCTTCTGCCCTGCAGATGCGTGCAGATCATGGCCCAGCTCTGCTATGGTTCCAGAGCTGTTGCTCACTCAGTGGCCCCTCCAGGAGAAACTGCTCCTCGCTGAACATTCCTGGAAAAAGCACAAAAACACCACCATTACAAGTAAGTTTTTGATGGATTTTCCCAGTAGGGTTTACAACCAGCAGGTTGCAGTCCGCAGTTCCCAGCTCCATGCTGAGACATCAGGATGAAGCCATCTTCTGCTCCATGCAGGAAACACACTGGACATCCTCCACACATTTGCCAGCTGCTCAGGCTTCCGCCTGGTGTTTGGACTGAAT